TAAGCCCTTGCACATCGCTTCAATCTGCGGGTAGATGGTGGCGAAGATCCTCTTGCGTGCCCTAACATCGGGTGGGAGGTCTCCGCGTGCTCGAATCTCTGTGCTTGCCGTCGCGGTTGTTGAGCCACTTGGATCCGTTCTGCGCGTACTGCAGGCGGAAGCGCCTCGCCTGGTCGGCGCTCTTGAACTGGATGAGATAGGTCTGCCCTGTCTCGTGAATCTGCGTCGTCACATCTGCCAAGGTCTCCGCGTATATGGCCTTGAGCTGGTCGTAGTGGTCCTTCATCACTCTGCCAAGGACGGGCCTCGGCCAGGTGCCCATGAAGACCTTGGTGGAGTCACTGCCCACGAGGCCTGCGACGTCTAACATGCGCCGCTTGCTTCCCAAGGTAGCTGTAGTTGACGCCGAACTCGCTGTTGACGGGGCGACTGAATGGTTGGCCATCTGCCTCTGCAAACTCTTGATGGCGTCGTCTTGCTGGTCGAGACGCTGATTGATAGGAAGTAGTGCTGACCCAACTGCTGTGCCCACAGATGCGTTGATCTGGCTGGTCAGGGAAGCCTCGACGTTGCGCTGCACCTGCTCCAACAATACAACTATCTCCTCTGCTGATGCCATGACCTCTTGTGTGTGATACTCCCGTGATCACGTCAAGAGAAGGTTGCAAGCAGGAGAACTCTTGGCCCCAGCAGCGCGCAACTCGACTGGGGTTGCCTGAGACAGGGACTAGCCCCGGACTAGAGGTATCCGTTCCTGCCCAGGGGACAAAGACATCTTGAGCCAAACTGGCAACGGAGGAAGAGAAGGAGGAGGAAGAGGAGGAGGAGGAGGAGGAGGAGGAGGAGGAGGAGGAGGGGGGGGAGGAGGAGGAGGAGGAGAAGGAGGAGGAGGAGGAGGAGGAGGAGGAGGAGAAGAAGAAGGAGGGGGAAGGAGAGGAGGAGGGGGAGGGGGAGGAGTAGGAGGAGGAGGACCCCCTCCCCCTCCAAGTTATGGTGGTGGTGGTGGTGGTGGTGGTGGAAAACAGGCCCATCAAACCAGCGCAGGCCGAGCTCCACGCAGCTCCAACGTGGCTCCTGCCCTGTCTTCTGGAGAACTGGGGCCGTCGCTCGCCCGAGCCCAGCAGGGCGCGTGGGGCGTGTGGGGCGGGGGAGGCCAGCAGCCCGGGCGGGGCGCAGAGAGCAGGGCGCGGCACTGCAGTCGCGCCCGGTACAGGAGCGTCAACAACTTACACCTGAGAAACTTATCCTGGCAAAGCAACCTAACAGCGATGTGTAGGAGCATATCTGGAAGCATTCTCCTTAAAATTCAGATGAGAATCCAGTTGTAAAATTCTGCTGTTCTCGCAGTCGCAGTCGCATTCGCGATGACAGTCGCAGTGGCAACGGCAGTCGCAGTCACAGCCTCAGCCTCAGCCTGCCTCAGCCTCAGCCTCAGCCTCAGCCTCAGCCTCAGCCTGCCTCAGCCTCAGCCTCAGCCTGCTTCAGCCTCAGCCTCAGTCTGCCTTCAGCCTCGGCCTCAGCCTCAGCCTGCCTCAGCCTCAGCCTGCATCAGCCTCAGCCTCAGCCTCAGCCCTCAGCCTCAGCCTGCCTCAGCCTCAGCCTCAGCCTGCCTCAGCCTCAGCCTCAGCCTGCAGCCTCAGCCTCAGTCTGCCTTCAGCCTCGGCCTCAGCCTCAGCCTGCCTCAGCCTCAGCCTGCCTCTCAGCCTCCTCAGCCTCAGCCTGCCTCAGCCTCAGCCTCAGCCTGCCAGCCTCAGCCTCAGCCCTTCAGCCTCGGCCTCAGCCTCAGCCTGCCTCAGCCTCAGCCTGCATCAGCCTCAGCCTCAGCCTCAGCCTCAGCCTCAGCCTCAGCCTCAGCCTGCCTCAGCCTCAGCCTGCCTCAGCCTCAGCCTCAGCCTGCTTCAGCCTCAGCCTCAGTCTGCCTTCAGCCTCGGCCTCAGCCTCAGCCTGCCTCAGCCTCAGCCTGCATCAGCCTCAGCCTCAGCCTCAGCCTGCCTCAGCATCAGCCTGCCTCAGCCTCAGCCTCAGCCTGCCTCAGCCTCAGCCTCAGCCTGCTTCAGCCTCAGCCTCAGTCTGCCTTCAGCCTCGGCCTCAGCCTCAGCCTCAGCCTCAGCCTCAGCCTGCCTCAGCCTCAGCCTCAGCCTCAGCCTCAGCCTCAAATGGCCTCAGCCTCAGGGGCCTGAGCCTCAGAAAAGTCTCAGTCCAAAAGCAGCCTTGGCCTCAGGAGGAATGGAGTTCTGGGAACTCGACCACGAAGTTTCCAGCCCAGGAATGAAGTTCTGGGAACTCGAAGACCACGAAGTGGCCTACAGTTGGCTCCGGGCATTCAAAATCATGCCCAGGAATGGAGTTCTGGGAACTCGAAGACCACGAAGTGGCCTACAGTTGGCTCTGGGCATTCACAATCATGCCCAGGAATAGAGTTCTGGGAACTCGATGACCACGAAGAGACCTACAGTTGGCTCCGGGCATTCAAACTGTGGCCCGGGAATGGAGTTCTGTGAACTCGAAGAGCACGAAGTGGCCTACAGTTGGCTCCGGGCATTCAAAATGTGGCCCGGGAATGGAGTTCTGGGAACTCGAAGAGCACGAAGTGGCCTACAGTCGGCTCTGGGCATTCAGAATGTGGCCCGGGAATGGAGTTCTGGGACCTCGAAGACCACGGAGTGTGTAACTGTTTGCTTAAAACGACTTCCACGGATTCTCCCCGGCACCCGTCTGGCATCTGCCCAGACCCCCCTGAGGAGTCAAGATGCTTTCTGTTGAGAAACCATTGGAAACCTATCAGTCTTCGCTGTTAGGTAGAAAACAATATGTGGATGATTTGAAAACTGATACGATGGGTCTTGAGATCGATTGTGGGATCGCTGATGGGATCGATAGTGGAATCGATAGTGGGGACGAGTGTTTAAGGTCGATCGTGAGACCGAGAATGACATCGGCTCAATGAGATCGATAGTGAGATCGATCGCGAGATCGCTCATGCGATCTCTAGTGAGATCGCTTGTGAGATTGATAGTGAGATCGATTCAGAGATCGATGATGAGATCGATCGAGAAGCCAGTAATGAGATCGATGGTGATACTCATCGATAAGAAGATCGACCAGGAACCCGGGAACCCGGAACCTCGCCGCCCTCCGAAATCGGACCGGAACCCAGAACTGGAAACCCGGGAACCCAGAACCGGGAACCCGGAACCCGGGAACCCAACGTGCGACCAAATCGGCAGGGCACTTTCGCCAAATCCATCAAAATCCGCGAGGACCCCTTCAGTGCAAGCACTGATTGGGGAATCAAAGAATGGCGTCCTGTAGACGGCGGACGACATCCGATTCCGCGTCTGGAACGTGACAAGCACGGGTGGTAGCATGCCCAGCAGTGGGTTCCAAAAGCGGAGCGCAGTGGATGCGAAACAGTTCCAACGCATGGAACATTCGCGAACCAACACGGCGAATAGAATATAAAGCGAACGAACGGGGCAGCAGAGGACGTGGGCGACATGCGAGATCCAGACGATCCTTCCGCGATAAGGAATCACTAATGGCATGGCACGCGCTGGGGCATGGAGCAAAGCTGGATGCATACAGTGGGGGCCCGGTCACAAGAGACCTTCCACAGGAAACCCGACCCTGAGACCCCGGGACGCCCGTCGATCTTTGGTGTGGGAACGTCACGAGTTCCATGACGAAGCCATCGAAACCCAAGAAACCCAGGGCACCCTGGAGGCAAGCAGCGTGTACGGCAGGTTCGTGTCGTGCCGACCCCAGCGTTGGTTTTTGACACCGCAGGGATCGTTCAACCTTGAACGATCGGCCGCTGCCGCAACGTCCGATCGTCCAACATCGATCGATTCTGGGTCGCCGGCGGCGTTCAACCTTGAACGCCCGCGCTAGGGTCGCCGCTGGTCGACACGACGCAAACCTACCGTACCTTGGCCTGGGCCTCCACTGCAAGGGGTCAGGGCTGGAGCCGCCGTGGGGCGGAGCAGGAGGCCCGGAGCGCCACAGCGGAGCGAGGCGGGGGGGGGCAGGCGCGGAGCGCGAGACCGGAGCGGCAACGAGGCGGCCGCGGGGCAGTCGCGGGGCTGACCCGCACTTGGCTCAGCCTGGCCCCATCGATTGATCCAGCTCTGCTCCAAATATCGAATTATAAATTTAAAAAAACAGTTAAATTTATGTTAATATTCAATTCAAATTGTTGTTATTTCTTCTTCTTTTTTAGACATGCCTTAGAATTGATTTAAAAATCTCAGGAGCTGAATCGTCTCCCCGCTCTTGCCCGCGCCAGGCTCCCCTGTCGTCTCCCCCACTCCTCAGCGAGCGAGGAGCGGTAGAAAAGAAACTCTCCGCGGTCGGGGACACCTGCCCCTGGGCGGCTGGAAAGTTCATTATACCATTCTTCGCTCGCTGAAGAGTGGGAGACGGCAGGAGCCTGGCGCGGGCAAGGACGGGGGAAATTATGCGGTTCCTGGAGCAGAGCTGGAGCAATCAATGGGGCCAGACTGAGCCAAATGCAGGTCAGCCCTGAACGCGTGGCGGCCCATCGACTGCTCCAACGAACACGTCCGAGAGCGGTGCATTTCGGCGACAAGCTTGGCCGCCAGGCAAGCGGGCCCAAACCCGACCCCTGCAAAACAAGTACTCTGTGCTTGTTGTTGCGTTTGGTTGTGAGTGTTGTTTGATTGTTGCTGGTCTGATTGTTTCAACGTGCATGGTCGTTCTGCGTTTCTGTGGATGACCTCTCTGCGCTGCTGCGCATGACTGTCGAGCGTGCTTTTTGTCCGGCCCAGCCCTCAGAGAGAACCGTCACCCATGGCCCTGGAGCCGTGGAGGGCAACACGTCAAGGTGAACTAATCTCCGAAGACACGCTGGTACGCGCTCTGAGCTAACGTTAAAATTCTATAGTGGTAGTCGTCGCGGCCCTCGCTGTCGCCGCTGTCGTGATACCCGCTGCCATCGTCGCCGCCGGCAACGACGTCAGGGACGACGTCGAGGGAGGCGCCTGATTGCCGGACGGCGCAAAGTCTGTGTGCACGCTGACATCCACGGCCTTCTCCACGCTAACGTCCACGGCCTTGTCCACGGGAGACTCCTGAAGGGCCGAGCCCTTGCTTCCCAATGCTCTTTTTCTGCCATTAGAACATCGGGAAAAAAACAATGGGTAACCCCTAGACCCCCTCTCAATGTGCACCCGCCTGGTTCCCGACACTCGCCCGAGAGCTGGGAACCGAGCGGGTGGCCACTAGAGGGGGGTCCAGCGGTTCACCGCTCGTTGTCCAGTAGTGACCACCTACCAAACCACCCCAACCCAACCCGAAGACACGAATTGGACCCGAATTTCGGGTGAGGAGGGGTACGGGTTCCACGTGTTTTCTCGATGTTCCCCGACCCCCCCCCCACTGAAAATGCAGGGCAAATCGTGGCCTTCGGGTTGGGTTGGGGTGGTTTGGTGGGCGGTGAAATAGATGCTGGCAGTGTGAAAAAGTTGAGCCACGCGCGGGTGCGCACGTGCCTGCCCGGCCTGCCAAGGTTCACCACACGGCCGGCCCTGCCACGAGAGAGATGCCGTGCGGCTCTCGGCCAGCCTGCTGCCACAGCGCACCGCACCCGCCATCCGGACAGCTCGCCTCCGACCCAGCCGGCATGGCGCGTGGCCCGATGTGGCCCGACATGGTCCTCGAGGCGGGCCCGGACGGGCCAAGACGGACACAGGTGGCGCAGTTGGCACGAGGGTCACAGGAGGACTCCAAGGTCGGCCCACGTGCCCCCAAAGGACGGGCGAAACGGCCTGGAAGGGGGCCCGAGGCTTTCGGGGACAGCCCGTGGGAGCCCAGGCCATTGATCCTCTTGACCGTTTGAATGGTTCCCAGTTCCTAGCCATTTCGGACCTCCAGCAGCCCAAGGGGGTCCAATGATGGGCCTGTTTTCCACCACCGCCACCACCATAAGTTGGAGGGGGAGGAGGGCCTCCTCCTCCTCCTCCTCCTCCTCCTCCTCCTCTTCCTCGTCTTCCTCCTCCTCCTCCTCCTCCTCCCTCCTCCTCCTCCTCCTCCTCCTCCTCGTCTCGTCCCCTCCTCCCTCCTCCTCCTCCTCCTCCTCCTCCCTCCTCCCTCCCTCCTCCTCCTCCTCTCCTCCTCCTCCTCCTCCTCCTCCTCTCCTCTTCCTCCTCCTCCTCCTCCTCCTCCTCCTCCTCCCCCCCCTCCAACTTGTGGTGGTGGTGGAGATCGGGCCCATCATCCAATGGCCCTCGAGGCGGCCAAGGACTTCCCCGATGGCCCAAGACTGCCAGAGCGCCGCAGACTGGCCGCGAGGAGGCCCCGCAGACGGCACCCAACGAGGGCCCTGGGACGGCCCTGCCGCGGCCGAGCGCTCTCCACGGCCGAGGCCTCGAGGCGCACGCCTCTCGTGGCCCGCAGGGGCCTCCCCCGGCCAAGAGGCACGCGGTGGGGCGCCGAGGCCCCCCGAAGGGGGCCACCGAGGGGAAGCCCCACAGGGCGCAGGGAAGAGGGAGGAGGGCCTCCTCCTCCTCCTCCTCCTCCTCCTCCTCCTCCTCCTCCTCCTCCTCCTCCTGCTCCTGCTCCTCCTTCCTCCTCCTCCTCCTCCCTCCTCCTCCTCCTCCTCCTCCTCCTCCTCGCGAGTGAGCGTTGTCTGATTCGGCGTCTCGACATTGGGCTGAAGGGGGGGGGTGGGAGGGGGGGGGTAAGCAGACTCGTCCCTCACCATTCTGCTGCTTTCCTCGCCCCTTGAAAGGTCGAGGCCCATGCCACCAGCTAGAGCTCGATGATCGCTTCACGACGGCGGCGCTAATGCGCAGATCGGCCTTCTGTGGGCCACGTTCGGGCTCCGGAACCGCATCGACAGAATGGTAAGGGGTGAGAGCCATCACGGGTGGAGGGGGGGGGGTCTGGCTCTGGACCTCTGCTTAGTGCGACTGTCTGCATAGCAGTGCGTCCTCTGGGGGGGACTCCACCTGCTCGAAGCAGTCGCCAAAAACAGCCAGGATCTACTCCGCGGGGGGTGATCCGAGGGCCCGCGCCGATCGGCAGAACAATGAAGAAGAAAACGATCCCAAACCATCTCACGAATGCCCATCTGTTTGGGTCTCTCTTCTGACCGTGCCAGGGCTCTGCGTGGGGACGTAAGCATTTACCGCCGGCCAGTATCAGAAGGATGCGCGATGAGGATGCAAGGGCCTTGGAAGGCCAGTTCGGAGCGTTTCGAGCGGGGCGCGGCCAGCGAAAGTGGCCAAGGATAGGCCGAGGAGACAAGGATGAAAGGGTACCCTTGGGAAGGATGCACATCCTTATTATGCGGATTGACTGCAAGAGCTCTCAGGGATGGATTGGGGAAGAGTTTCAGGTTCGAAAACGCTCCCAGGTCAGCTCCAGGTGTTCACGAGTGATTCTGTTGTGGGGGGCCTCCAAGGACGATCCTGGAGCGCTTCTTGGTGCACCAAGTGAGCCACTGGAAACTCTCGGAGACGGCCCAGGAAAGCTCGACAGGTTCCAAGACGGCCTGAAAGCGCCTCCAGGGGGGGCTCCAAAAAGGCATGGGGAGGAGGCACCAAGCAGGGTCACAGATGCGGCTCGTTTAGAGGGTATCTTGGCAGTCGTGGTGCGCTACGTGGAGCCCTGAACTGGCTTCTGGGAACTCCGGGGCTGGATCACGTTTGGGAGGCCACTCGAAGGCTCTTCGGCAGAATGTGACGGGGCTCCTCCTGTCCTCGTCAAGCCTTCCTCCTCCTTCTCCTCAAACGGGTCTGTGCAGGTCTCTGGATTGTGGGAAATGTCCTTGTCTCCTGATGCCCTCGGAGGCTTGCTGGAGCGTCTCTTGAGGCGTCTGGAGCCTCCCGAGCCGTCTGGGACCCCCGGAGGCCGTCTTGAGGGTGGCTCGGGGCCGTCCTGGGCCGCCTGGACGGCTGCCTGACCCCTCTCGGAGGCGCGTCTGCGTCCCCGTCAGGAGCGCCTTGGAGCTTCTCGGGGCCTCTTGGGCTCCTCTCGGGGGTGTCATAGGAGGGGCGAGCTCGAGGCCTCAGCAATCCATCGGAGGCGCCAAAAATCGGGAAGGCCAACATCATACATGTCCCGTTGGTTTTCTAATGTTGTTTCCCAACCATCCTGTGGTGTTGGCTCCGGGTTTTGAAGAGACAGCTTGAGCCAAACATTACTTGAGCATGGAAGGTGTTTGGCTTGTCGGGCGCCTCCTGGAGAATCTCTGAGACCCTCTGGAACTGTCTCTGTCGTCTCTTGAGGCGCCCGGAGCCTCTCGAGAGCCGTCGGAGATCCCTGGAGGCCGTCTTGGGGGTAACCCGGGGCCGCCCTGGGCCGCGTGGACGGCTGTCCGACCCCCATCGGGAGCGATTCTGGGCCCCGGTTGGGGGCGTCTTGGGTTGAGTCGGGCGTGCCCCCCTACAGGGGGATCTTGAGCGGAAAATGAGAAACACTGAAAAATACCCCCCCCAATGCTTAAACATAGTCAAAACATCGTCCCCAGACTATTTCTTTACTATGTTCGAATCTTCCTCCTGTAGAGGGGCACGCCCGACGTAAGTCTTGGGCTTCCTGGGGCCTCTTGGGTGCTTCTTCGGGGGGCGCCGTGGGGCCACCCGGGGGGGCGAGCCCGAGGCCTCCGCAGCCCCGCGGAGGCGCCAAGGGCGAGAAAAGGTAAGCCGATCGATCTCCCACGGGCTTCCGGCGAGGGCTGGCCTGTCGAAGGGGCCCCGGACTAAGTCGGGCCTGTCCCCCTGCAAGGGGATGTTCGACGAAAAATAAGACATACCCCTGAAAGAATCCGTAAATACTCAAAAAATAGTCTGGGGACGTTTTTTTGTATGTTTTAACCTTTTGGGAATATGTTGGGGTATTTTTATTTTTCGTCGAAAATCCCCCTGTAGGGGGACACGCCCGACATAAGCCTGGGCAGTACAGCCTCCTGAGGCCCTCCGAGGCTGTCCTCATAGGGGAACAAAAAGTGGCATAAACATAAAAACTCGGAGGTCCGCGCGGATTTCTCGGATCGGCGCTGGGGCCCCCCGGCGGCGCCTCCGGCGCCGCCCCTGGCGCGCTCCGCGCGCCCAGGGAGGGGAGTCCAGCGCCGATCCGAGAAATCCGCGCAGACCTCCGAGTTTGTATGTTTGTGTCACTTTTTGTTCCACTAGTCCTTCATCGTCTCTTGAGGCGCCCACCTGCCAACCTGCCTGCCGACAGATGGCTGTCACGCGCTCTTGCATGGTCCCCTGCCGGACACAGTTCCCTCAGGGAGACCGCGGAAGACGTGGGAGCATGATGTCCAGCGATTCTGCGACAGGTACGGGATCGGCGACTGGAGAGAAGCAGCAAAAGACACACATTCGTGGAATTGTATGACAGGAGATGTTCTTCACCACACGAGCGTCTGCTCGAAGGATTGCAATCCAGGGTTTTTTGCAATCCTTCGTTTTTTTGCAATCCTTGGGTTTTTTTTGCAATCCTTCGTTTTTTGCAATCCTTCGTTTTTTTGCAATCCTTCGTTTTTTTGCAACCGTTCGTCCTGTGTTCACCCGCCTGTGCCTTAAGCGGCCGCCCCTTCGCGGGCATACAGGCTTGACCTTGACCTCGAGGCGCCCGGGGGCCTCTCGAGAGCCGCCGGAGGCCCCGGCCTCGGGGTGCCTCGGGGCCGTCCCGCGCCAGAGCGGCTGCCCGACCCCTCCTCGGAAGCGGTGCCTCCTCGGGTGCTGTGCGGAGCGGCGGCCTGGGGCCTCCTGGGGGCGAGGCCGAGGCGGCACCAGCAGCCCCTCGCAGGCGCAAGAGGCGAGAAGGTGCACCGTCCCGGACCTTCCGGGAGGGCCCAAAAAATAGCACCGGGGCATCGACGCCCTGATCCCTGTCGAGGCTCGAGGCAGTCCAGACAGGTCTGTAGGTCTGGAGTGCTACTTTTTCACACATTTTCCTCGCTCGCTCGACCCTGGGAGTGCTTGTCGCCACCGTCGCGGCTAAGGTGGCGATACAGGGGGGCTCTGGCGATCACGCGCCTGCGGAAGGGGGGTGCTGAGGCCGCTGCTGCGACCGAGGGCGAAGCCGAATGGCTTAAGACGTGCCGCACCCAATCACATGG